AGAACCATCAGTGTACCACATAATAATTGCTTTTCTAAAGCATGCCAATGTTCTCTTGCCATTGCAATGTGTTTTGGTGACATGCAAAATAAAGAAGAAGAAAAAAGAGGGTGTACTTTATTTTTCCCATGACTGTAAATGGAAGGATGAATAGGCATAGTATTCATTAGAAATATCTCTTTTAAAATTATATGATTAAAGGTCCATTAAACCTTATCCATAATTGCCATGAAACCTGGTGGATGCATGGGATATTCTACTATACTCCATGTCCTACCAGTAACAGATACACTATTGTGTTTTACTAGGGTGACATTACAGCTATGTGTTAATGATAGCTGCACTTAACCATTTACATTTTTTTATTTTATATTTTAATGGGGTGACATCATAGCTTTGTATTAATGTTGGCGACATTTAACCACTGACATTTTTAACGTGAATCTAGGTGTGTAGACAATCATACCACTATCAAGCTTTATTCGACATATTTACATTACAATAGATATATTGGTTTATATATGACTCTGTGTATATATGCATATGTGTAAATAAAAACAAGAGTGTGCATATATATATATAGAGTTCACAGAATGGCAATATTCTATAATTTATCAGGTCCATAACAGCTTACAACAGCCGCTAGGAAGACCAGTGATCAGTGGTATTACATCCCTCACTTGTAATACATCTGACTATATAGATATGTATTTACTAATGTATGTAGTTAAAGGTCCATCCTATATTACAAATTCCACCTGGATTTTAAGAGATAATTAGAGATAATTAATTGGGGGAAAAAACTATTTATGATCTTCAATAGCTATAAATCATTATTTACAGATATCATTATTTACAGTCATAGATCACCAACAGGGAATCAAGAAGTAAATTATTTGTTAGAATTAGTTGAAGAAATGTCTCCATGACAAGTGAGATTTATTTTAAATTGTATAGATTTTATCTTAACAAAGGATGACTTTTATCTGAGCTATTACCTCCAGATGTGCAGGATAGCCATGGGCACCAGGTTTGCCCCAAGCCATGCTAACATCTGTGTGACTAGTTGGGATTCCCAATATATTTGAGCCAATAACCCAGTTGGGGTGACCTAGTGCTAAGGAAACATTATATAGATGACCAAATAATTAAAGGAATACCACACTCAAAAATGATGCAAAAAAGTATATTTTTAATATGTGCAAAAAGGAAGACATATATTTCCATTACAATGGAAGGGGAAAAACACTGAGTTACTATGTACACTCATAAAGCCCATAAATCCCCAATCTCTACATATAGCTCATGTAGTATAGGTATAGCTGAATGTAAATTCATCAGAAAAAGTTGTAAGTAATCATCAAGTGATACATACAAAGAAGATAATAATCATAGGTAATGACTCCAAAGGAGCCACCCACTAACTCATTAAAGTAGAAGTATAGGAAAAAATAAACATTGATAAAAATGACAAAAAAATAAACAAATAAACAAAACAAACAAACAAAGCAAACATCTAAGATGTATGAATATCAAGTCCACTTGCTAGATTGGATATAGATGATCCTAATAGATAATAATAAAAAATTGAAAAAGAAAAGGCAAAAAATAACAGAAAAGGTTGGATCTCACCTGTCTACAAAGATCATCAGTCCTGATCAAATGGATAAGTCCATGTGGGGTAAATGCTGGAGAATGGTCACTGGATGATCCCTGGAAGATCACTGTAGTCTGGCAGTAGACCTGGGTTTGGAACAGGGTGCAGGTGACTGGTGGGCTGTGGGCTGTGGGCTGCGCGCTCGGGACCATGTTGTCCCTTCCAAGGCCCTGGTCCTTTATATAGATGACCTCCTTATCATCAGAAAGGGAAATAGAGAAGAACTAAATACATTTGTCAATGATGGTAATTCTAATAAAAATTTACTTCATTTTGCAGCAGATATTATTACATAGTTACATACTTACATAGATGAAAAGAGACTTGCATCCATCAAGTTCAGCCTTCCTCACATTTGTTTTTTGCTGTTGATCTGAAAGAAGGCAAAAGAAAACCAGTTTGAAGCACTTCCAATTTTGCAACAAATTAGGAATAGTGATGTCGCGAACATAAGATTTTCGGTTCGCGAACGGCGAACGCGAATTTCGGCAAATGTTCGCGAACCCGGGCGAACCGCCATAATTTGACTCATAACACTCTGATTGGTGGATTAAGTAACCAATCAAAGAGTTATGAGTCAAATTACACAGCGTGGGAAAATTCCACAGAACTTTCCCACGCTGTGTAAAATGACACAGAGCACTCTGATTGGTGGATTTCAAACCAACCAATCAGAGTGCTGTGACAGGTAAATGTAGAGACTTACCTGTCAGTCTCTTCATTTACCTGTCAGAGCACTCTGATTGGATGGCTTAAACCCACCAATCAGAGTGCTCTGAGCCTAATTGCAGGGCGGGGCAAGGCTTTATAAGCCTTCCCCCGCCCTGCAGAGCTCAGTCTGCACGGAGCCCTCACTGGGTGAAGATGGATTATTATTTTTTTGCGCTCGTTTTTTTTTTTGTTTTTTTTAATTGCGTCGGTTATTATGGTTTTTTATTTGGCCTTTTTTGGGACTGAAAAAAGAAGATTTAGAAGAAAGAAAACATCGAATGGTAAGTTGTTTTTTTTTCATTTTACAGGTACTTAGTTAAAGGTGCCCCCCCTTATTATTTTTAGGGTGAGGGGGGTAGGTAGGGGGATAATGTTTTTTTTGGGGGGGAGGGGGTGACTAGGGGTTTGGGGACCCCTAGTCACCTGGGGGGTGGGGGGGAAATTTTTTTAGGGCCCCCACCCGCCGCTCAGGGGTGGGGGCCACGGGGGAAGGACCTTAGGTCCCCCCCCTTTTTAGTATTTAGGGCCCCCACCCGCCGCTCAGGGGTGGGGGCCACGGGGGGAGGACCTTAGGTCCCCCCCCTTTTTAGTATTTAGGGGCCCCACCCGCCGCTCAGGGGGTGGGGGCCAGAAGGCCTTAGGTCCCCCTTTTTGAAATATTTAGAGGCCCCCACCCACGCCTGGCTCAGAGGTGGGGCCAGAGAACCTTAGGTCCCCTTTTTATTAGGAGCCCCACACCACGCCCGCTCAGGGGTGGGGCCAGAAACCAAGTCCCCTTTGAAATATTGGAGGGCCCCACCCGCTTGCAGCTCCAAGGAGTAGGGAGGCCAGAGGGAGGACATTAGGTCTCCCCCTTCTTAGTATTGAGTGCCCCCACCACCACCACTCAGGGGTGGGGGCCGTGAAAGGACAGTTCCCCCCTATGTATTTAGGGCCCCCACCCACCGCTCAGGGGTGGGGGCCAGAAGAACAGTAGGTCCCCCCCCCATATCATGAGTTAACTTTGACACCCCCCCCCCGCGCGGCGGAGTGGGGGGGTTGTCAAAGTTAACTCAATGATATGGAATAGGCGGTGGACCGAACATCGCATATGTTCGCCCGCCGTGGCGAACGCGAACATGCGATGTTCGCCGGGAACTGTCCGCCGACGAACTGTTCGGGACATCTCTAATTAGGAAAATAAATCCTTCTTGACCCCAGAATGGCAGTCAGATTAATCATTGGATAAAGAAGCTATTACCCTACATTGAAAAAGTATATCCTTTAATATTCTGTTTTTGCAAGTATGCATCCAGAGGATTGAAAGATTTAAAGGAGTAAAGAGAAGATATGGAACCTATAAAAAAATTAATCTTTCAGAAAAATGTTAAATAATAATCATATCAAGGTTTTACAAAAAGGTTTTAAATATGCCCACAGTTGCACCATGAACAAATTTTAGACTTTTATAGATATCAATAGATATACTAGAAAGTTGTGTTTAAAGGCATATTTTTTTAAATAAGAAATAATACCCCTCTAACCAGTAAAGATTTGAAACCAAAATCAGATTTCTTCCCATGCCATCTTAAAACCCCAAGAATGAAAACTTTTGAAAAGTATGTGTTGCAGATTTAAAGAGAATAAAACTGATCTCAAAATTTCAACAAAATTTGGGTTGGGAAGAGAAAAAGCTTCTGAAGGATCTTGCTGATGATAAAACTATAATTATAAAACCAGGGGAGAAGTAGTTATAATTTTAAAGAACAGCAGGTGGATTTTATTCTGGATGGTAATTCTCTCATCCTAAATAATAATTTATTTTGGTTTGAGAGTGAATACTATCTACAGAAAAGAGTCACGACTATGGGGACCAAGTTTGCACCCAGTTATGCTAATTTATTTATGTCTCTTACAAAGTAACCTCTGTCTGCCACTTTTGCTGCATTGTTGTTGTTTATGTTGCTATAATAAAACCCACAAAAACCTTCTCTAGGGCATTCGGATGTACGAATGGCCGACCATCCGGCATATGGCGTGTGCCGCCTATTAACCATCCAGAAACTGCGGTATTATGCTTCTTAACCCCGTTCCCCTCTAAACTACCAAACAAAATACCGAACATATTACCGAACGACTGATCACCCTACATGGGGAGTGTGCCCCCTAATAACTGCCCAAAAACTGCAGTTTTGTGGTTAACCGGAGCTTAATTGACGATCGGCTGGGTGGTTGTCATTCATATGCACAAACACGTGGTGGCGGCCATCTTTTACTATTGAACACCCAGCAGGACTTGGTTGTCGACCTCCTGGTACTCTTTTCAGATACTATTGTGCACGAACCCCGCTGGGATCCCCAGAAAATCGTCCGTTCAGATTTAAATCAACGAACACCGTGCCATTCGGTACTTTGAGTCTTTGGAGGTTATACCGACCCTATGACTGAACATTGGAGAGCTAATTGCTGGGTTGAATTTTACCAAATACCCCTGGAGACAAACTTTATCCCTATGGCGTTCCCATCCTATTCATGAGATCTGAGCACTTTTCTGATATCTTGTGCGCTCAGATCCAAGCTGTCTGGGGATATGTTGAACGCATAAGTTAAATAATATACTGTATGAGTTATGGATTTGTATGTAATTTTTAGTGTAATTACAAAACCAGAATATTGCCTGTACCTGGAGATAATTAAGTTACTGTAACCATTTAAGCTACTTATCTCCAGGATAGAGGGATGGGTTTGAAAAGATGCACTTTGTTCTTATTGGTTATTGTCCCTTGTAACACTGTGTACCATCAGGTCCAGAGGGGTGTGCCTCTGGCCTGAAAATGTGTATATAAGCAATGCCTTGCCGTTCAATAAACCAGGCTTCTTACCCTCAACTTGCAGCTTTGACTCGTGTTGTAGGGAAAGGCTGATCACTAGCTCTGCTAAGAGCTCTAGGGATACTCTACAGTTGCAGGAAGATCTCTAGGTACTGACTTGGGACTCTCTACCATTCTCCAGGATTGGGGACAAGGACATCCAAACGGTCCAACTCTCAGCTAGCCTGAGGCAAACGTAACAATGTCCTTTTGGGAGAATTCTTTTGTTTTTTCCCAACATGACAGGGTAGTGAGCTTGGTTCTCTATAAGTGATATATTTTTTCATAGATGACATATTTTTTATTTGGAAAGGAGACTGTACCTCATTAGAGAATTTTTTTACCTTTTTAAATTCGAATTCTAAAGATACGTGCAGAGTAGGATGTGATACGAACGAGCACGTTCTTCAAAACTGTGGATATAAATTCGTACATAGATAGAGATAGTTGCCACTTCTTTCCGTGGTTGTAAAATATCCTGAAATGACAGCTTACAAGAATTAAACGGAACTGTATGGAAGAAAATACCTTTATAGAACAATCCACTTTTAAAAAAAAAAAAAACTATTCTTTCAAAAAGGTTATGAAAAGAGGGAAGTGGAACAACAATTTAAAGAGGTACATGAAAAAGCTAGAAAAGACCTATTAAAATGTAATATTAAAGAGCAAACCCCTATGGAAAATCAAGTTGCTTTTATATGTAATTTTACTTCTCAAAGTTATAGTTTAAAAAATGTTTATCTAAAAATTGGCATATTTTAAAGCAAGATAAAGATCTTAAAACCTTTTTTGGAGGAAAACCTAAAATTATATATAGAGGAGCCACAAATTTAAAAAAAGTATTAACAAAAAGTTAAAAAAGAGATAAAAGAAAAAAGAGATAGTGATATTCGGGGAAAAGCTCTAAAAGGATTTTATAATTGTGGTCAGTGTAGGGCATGTAAAAATATGAAAGTTTTATCTAAAAAAACTGAAAAATTATCGTCAAGTGTAACTAATAGAGAATATAAAGTGTTGGATTTTATTGATTGCAACACAAACAATGTAAATTATCTCCTAACTTGCACATGTGGTCTCCAATATGTAGGGAGAACCACAAGACCGTTAAAAGTAAGAACTGGAGAACACATGAGGAATATCCAAAATAGAGTTTTAAATCATTCGATCTTTGCACATTTTAATGAATTCCACAATGGTGATTTAAGATATATGCACTTGATGGGGATACAAATTATTTATATAGCGCCATCAGATTCCGTAGCGGGGTGACCATATGAAGATGATAAATAAAATAGAGATGAAATAGATCTTATATATGGAAACCCTCTCTCCAAAGAGCTTAAATATAGACTTTGACCTCTGCAACTATATTTAAGAATAGATTATGATGCCTCTATTAATTTTAATATAAGGTTTTAATATGATAGTCTGTTTATCATATATATTTTAATATAGTTTTTATCCTTGCTCCTATCTTTTATTCCTCTCATTTTTACTTTACTCTCATATATTTAATTATGTATATTTTAGATATTTTATGTATAAAAATATTTCAGATAATTTATTATGTATGTTTAATGTAATTTTATATTAGTTATGTCTTCATTCATGTTTTGAGATATATTTATACATTATAACTGATTACTATTTCTATTTATGCTTTTCCCATAACCAACATGGCGCATGCTGCCTCTATGGGAATTATGGACGCTTATGAGATCGCTATATGCACCCAAAGCTACTCTGTCCGAATATATAGTGGCACAGAACACATTTCTTTCCAGTATACGTGTGCGGCATACCTACAAACCCTCTTATTTGCAAGATTGCGGTCAGAGCTGGAGGGACCGCCTACACATAAGACAAACATTGAGAATCTCCAAATCAGAATTTGACACATCATTTCACAAGGTGTATGGACATTTTGTGTGTGGCATTTCCTTCCATATATGGCCGAAACCTTATATGATGCCATATTGGGGGAGGCAAGGAAATATCCGGTCCGGACCATATATGGAAGTTCCTGTCCATATGTTTTGATGATTGCACCTGTTTTATGTTATTAATGGTCAGTATAAGGGTATATAAACCTGTTAGACTAGTTGTCAGGTAGACTGTACCTGAGGAAGTCCTCTTTAAATGTCGAAACGCATTGTGCTTATTGTGACTTTGAATTGTGGCATACCAGTTACCTTAATGTAAGGTTTTTATGTTTATTTGAAAAAAATGTTACTGATTTTTATTCTAACTGATTTTGCATCTCCCATTTTTCACTACTGAGGATTGAGTTACTTTCCACACTCCAGTGGAATTCCAGCATCACACCATAAAGCTGTAATTACCTGAGAAGGTTATATATAGCTAGGCTCAGAAAAATGGGAGTGTCATAATCATAACATTCAAGTTGAGAATGTTCCATATATTATTGAAATTATATTGCCCTATGAAAGTATTCTGTCTTTTATTTCTGCAGTGATACCTGCTACAGAACAGAGGGTATATATATATATATATATATATATATATATATATATATATATATATATTTATATATATATATATATATATATATTTTTTTTTTTATCTTCTTTACAACCTTTTGGTCCACTGTGATATATTTGGAATACATTATATGTTGTTTCATGTGCTGTACACTATTTTATATTTTCTGTTTCTATTTTTGGTGGGGTTCACGTGATTAGTCCAACAGTGTATTCTAGCTGCAATTTTCTTAAGCACCACTTTATTACATACCAATATTGTATGCATCTAGTTGCTGTTTGAATATCTGTATGGACTCTGATAAAACACTTTGTCAGGCAGAGAATTCCACATCCTTATTGTTCTTACAGTAAAAAAAACTTGTATTTGGCTTAGACGAAATCATCTTTCTTCCAGTCTAAACGCATGACCTTGTGTCCAGTGTAAAGTCCGGTTTGTGAATAGATTTCCACACAGTGGTTGGTATTGGCCCCGAATATATTTGTATAATGTTGTCATATCCTCTCTGAGGCAATGTTTTTCTCAACTGAAGAGGTTTAAATTTGTTAATCTATTATGGTAGATTGTATCACTTTTTTGGATCTTCTGTTTTTTAAAGATATAAGTAACATTTTTTAAACCCACACATGGCAATAGCTATAAACAATTTTCCAGTAGCCATCATGTTAGATGGGTGAATAATATTCCAAAAGGCCAGCAGATTAGGGTTAAGTGAAATTGTATGCAGGAGGAAGACTTTGTAAATGAATTTAAGTTAAATTAATTGGGTTCTTATTTAACAAAATTATCAGTCAAATAAAATTAAGAAATCTTTGAGGAAATGCTGACCAACTTTAACTCAAGATCACTTGTTAATATAAATTGTTCTGGGAAAACTGGTGGTAATCTTTAAAGTTTGGCTCCTACCATTCTTCCAAAATTTAAAAATCCCTTTGAAACAAATATTTTTTTTTTTTAAATAATAAACCACAAGGATTTTTTCTAGATGTGGAAAGTGTAGCACTTGGAAATACACAAATTTGAATGTACTATAACTAGAGAGCAATTTAAAATTAACAATTTTTATACATTGTCAAAGTAGAAATGTGGTCTATCAAATAAAAATGTGAAAAGCACTATATTGGGTGGACTACGGAATGCCTCACATTTAATTAATAGAGCACTTTAATGGGGTAGATAAAATAAATAATAAACATATTGCTCCAATTGCATTGAATTTAAATTTAACAAATACATTTGTACTAGAATAGTTTTGTTTTAACCCCATTGGAGAGGGGGGTTTTAGTACAAGCTTTATCAAAAGGAGAAACAAAATGGGTCTATTAAATGAAGACTTTGGTCTGTTTAAATTTGAATACAGAGTAGGATATATTGGCTGGATATATTGACTTTTGTAGATTAAATACAATTATTTATAATTAATTCTATTTTATTGATAAACTACATATTTATTACTTATTATTATTAATCGTTTTCCTTTTTTATCTATAGAAGTCCCTGGAATTTTGTATTCATTTATATATTTTATTATATATAAATATATAATATATAATAGGGAAAACACAATGAATGCACTGTGCAATGTCTCTGTGTAGACACCTGTACAAACCACCTCCCGGGAAAAGGCACAGGGTGTGGTGACAGGTTTACACACAGAGAGCAATGTACCGGTAAGGGACTCCAGAAATCCCAAACGGGGCTTAACCCCAATAGCCAGAAGACAAGAAATATAACACAATGTAGTCAGTCTCCCTATATCCTAGGGACTAACCACATATCTGGAAATATCTATAGCGATCGAGTGTAGTCTAGAACATGATGGCAAAATAATAAATATATCTAGAGACCCAAAAACAGAAAAAATAAAGTATATTCAAGTGTAACTAAATCCCATGCCAGTTGAAAGCGGGGAATATATATACAAGGGGCTAAGTATCTGCCGTTTAAATGTCCTGCCTCACCCTAATTACCAGCTTTATTGTGCAATACTAAAAGGGTATGAGTGACAAATGGCTAGACCCCCAACATACTTCTCCACTTGAGAGAGTCAGCAATCATAATAGCAAAAAGGCTCACAATAGAGCTAATAGATATAGAAGGGAGAGATGGAAAGTGAAATGTAATCAGTAATCAGTCTGAAAAGCCAGACTGGTATTAAAGTTAAACAAGCCTCTCTCCCTGTAAATCTAACTAGACAGGCATAGGAAATAGAGTAGAAAAATAGAAATAAGTGTTAAATAAAGATCATGGTGCTACAATCACCAGTGCCCAGTGCTCATATACATGATATGAGAAGGAAGAATGCCCGACGTACGTTTCGGTGCTATAAAGGAGCACCTTCGTCTTTCCTTCTCATATCATGTATATGAGCACTGGGCACTGGTGATTGTAGCACCATGATCTTTATTTAACACTTATTTCTATTTTTCTACTCTATTTCCTATGCCTGTCTAGTTAGATTTACAGGGAGAGAGGCTTGTTTAA